TAGAGAATTTGTAGTTTGCATTAAGATCCGCGGTCTAGTTGTAAGTTTATAAGTACCATACAAGTTTTTTAGGGCCCGATAGGTTTAGCGTTGAAGAAATCGTTGAATCGCGTCGAGCCGCGAACGATCGATCGGAAAAGCCTCTCGATCGAATCGTGGAAAACGGTCGGAGGAAATGCATGCGCGCCGGCTATCGCCGGTCCGGACGAGCCGGCCGCTGATTCGCTGGCCGCAGGTTTTAATCAACCGCGCCGCAATAGGCTAATCTAGGCAATTAGTTTCCTACGACGTAATCAGCCGGCCAGATAAGGTGGAAACGTCGGGTGGGAGTTAAAAGTGCCGTATTACATTAGATTACTCTCCTCCGTGCATTATCATCGCCCGCAGAGAGAAATATGCAGATCGCGTTATGCGCCGGCAGAACCAGATCATCGGCGCGGCGGCAGAAGCGGGAAAGGAGGCGAAAAAGACGCGCGGGAGAAAAGGTCCAGCATGAGCCGCGGGAGCGGAGTCGGTTCGTTTCCTCTCCTTTCCGCGGCTCCGGCCGTGTCCCGCGCGACACGCGATCCGACTTAATTAAGAAGAACAGATTAGAGTTGCAACAAATTGCATTCCCGTTTTTTACGGGGCAATCGGCGAGTCTCCCGGTGAACAGCGGCGGCGTGCCCCGCCCGACCGTGGGGAGCCATGCGAAGAACTCCTTTGCATAATGAACATTTAAAGACGGATCAACGACCTATTTACGTTTACAGCCTCCGCCGGTTTCCTCCTCTCCTAATCTCCGTTCCCGTGTCGCCCCTCGTCTTCTCGTCGAACGGGGAGCGATCGTCTCGAGAGGATCGTTTCCTCGAACGTCGAACGCGTCTCGCTCGCGTTCGCGATCGGCCGGAGCGAAGAAACGCGAAGGCGACGGGGGTCTCTCGTTGTTCCTACGCCGGCGAGGATTTCCCCCGAAAATTCCTAGGACCCCGGGGGGGATCGGTTTGCGCGCGGCCGCGCTGCTTTCGAGGAATCCTGGTCGCGCCGGCCGATGGGGCAGAGCGCCTCGTTAGGGACGGCACCGCGTCGTAATTTCTGTTTGCATGATGAGCCGAACTGTACTTTTACGCGGGAAGATACCGCGAAACAATGCAAGACACGCGTGCAAATATGGGCGCGCACCTCAAATGGGACATTCCAATGTTTCTCGGTATTGCTTCCACCAAAGATGGCCGGGCCCGAGCACCGATCATGTCGTCAACCCGGCACAATATCTCTCGGCTTCGAAAAGCCTTGCGTCACCCGCCCATTCCTGCCTCCCGGCGTGTCGCGGTCTTCCCGTCCGAACCCTTGCCAGGTTCGACAGCGTGCCGAATCGGTCGTCGATCGTTTTTCATTATTCTGGGACAGTTTGGCGGGGAAGAAAGGGAGAGCGTTCGCTCGCGAAATTCTGGGGTGAAGAGACGGATACGTAGGAACACAGATGCAAGGGGGTGGAATAAGAGAATCAGCGTACAGGGTGGTGTCCCGTAATTATGTTGACGCACGGAAAGGGGTGATTCCTGAGGTCATTTGGAGTAACTTTTCCCTTAGCGAAAATGCAATCCGAAGCTTGGTTTACGAGTTATTGACGAAAAACAGTGTGACCAATCAGAGGCGAGGTCAGCTGACGCGAGGCAGCCCAGCCAACGAGCGCACGAAGCACAGCTCCGCTGATTGGCTCCGCCGTCGCGCGCCAGCCGAGCTCGCCTCTCATTGGTCGCTGTTTTTCGTTAATAACTCGTAAACGAAGCCGCGGATTGCATTTTCGCTAAGGAAAAAGTTGCTTCAAATGACCTCAGGAATCATTCCTTTTCGAGTGTTAACATAATTATAGGACACCGAGGTGTAAGCGGATGAGATATTATGTATTCAACATAATATTCAACAAAAAGAGGCTGTGAAGGAAAAGCAAAGACTAACAACTGGACTTAGATGTGGAAATATACGAAGGAATATGATAAATATTGGTTGACTGAGGAAGCTAGGAAATGTAGACTATGCGAGAGACAGATTTTAGCGGGGAGGGTGCGTGAAGGGGTTATTAAATGGTCGAGGGAAGTAGAGAAGGGAATTGAGAGGGAAGAAAGAAAGGTAACTGTGTGTTGCGCAACTAATAGTTCGAGTTATCGATTAATCTTGAGAACTAGCGTTTATTGTTCGTGGTTTAAGGTGACTGCGTTGTTATTGCAAATGCGAATTTACGATCATGATTGTAGCGTTACAATTGTAAATGCGGATGCACGATCGTAACTGTAACGTTTCGATTGTAAATGCAAATTCACGATTACAATTGCGGTGTTATGATTGTAAATGCGAGTATACAATTATGAGTGTAACGTTACGATCGTAAATGCGAATCCGTGTAACAGTAACGATGTGCTGACTGATGGCTGCAACGAATTGTAATTGATTGTCTAAAGAATAAGCGAAGCTTATCTTTTTCTAGGTGCAAATTTATTCCGCGTATTCAACAAATGATTATAATTGCTGCATTATATGTATAATGTGACACAGATCCTTTTTCTTTAAAGAAGAAACGACATAAACGCAGTTTCATACAAATCATTATGTTATTTCAACAGATCGTAAAATTAAATATGGAGGATGCGAGTGTAAAAACGTGTATCTTGTGTAAGCCAAGTCCGCGTCTGGGCTGTGAATAAAAAAATGAATAAAAAGGTGTTACTGCGGTTTCTCATTGAAAGCGAACTTCGACACAGTAAATAAGAATTTAATTGACAACTTGAGCTATACCAATTATTCTTTAACTTGAATATTTACCTTTCTCAAAACATTGTATCTCTGAAAGCACCGATTTCATCAAAAAACGTAATATAAAGAAACCATACATGCGCACATATTGCTGCGGTTATGTATCTATTGCTGCAAACCAAATACTGTGCGGACGTTCCGAATACTGTGTGTCAAGGTTGACGTGACCCATTTTCTTTTAAATGTGCACACACAGCTACAATTCCTAGGATCAAGATATTCTCACTGTAGCACTTTACAAATTCGATATAGAAGTACAGTTCAGCAAAGCACAGCAGTAATGTACAGACATGGTAAAAAAACTGTGCGCCAAATACTGTGTTAGTAAATAATATTTGACAGTGTATGTCGATCTTTTTTATCAAAGTAATGATTACTTTACCTAAAAATAACGCTAGGACGAATAGTTTATTCTTAATTAACAAGATATAAATGCCTTTCGAATCAGCGTTCACTGTTGCCGTTATGAATATTTCATTAGACTCGATATTTTCATAAGCTTCCGAATATTCGAAAGTCAATAAACGAATTAATATCGCGATTGCCGTTACTTGTATGTCATAAATTATCAATATGAAACGTCTAACAAAATTATGAGATTAATTTCTAAAAGATTGCGCACTATAAAATGTCAGATTTGATTACTTTTATAAAATGCCACTGTATTTGGAGCGTCCGCAGTAATACCCACACTTACCCTATATCGAGAGAACACTCGCGAGATTCGCTGGCAAAAATAGCATTCGAAGTCGAGTTTGATTCGGAAAAGAACGAGAAAGATGGAAAGATAATTCGAATGCTGGATTCGAAAGGAACTGGAAGAGAAGCACCGTTCGATGGATTAGAATAGATATCGATCGTTTCCCGTTGAAAAGCCCCGGGAGCGTTATTAGTCAGCGATTCGATTTGAATAATAGCACGGTTGGTTTTTATTTGTCGCGGGAGCAAAGCCGCGCCGAGTCGAGCCGTGTCGTTAACGCGGTCAATTATGCGCGCGCCGTTGTCAAACGTGGCATTTGCGTTGTCAAAGGATCGCGTGATATACGGAAACGCCGCGATCCAATTTTTTCGCTGTTCTGCCGCGTTCTTTTTCCCCGGCGGTTCTGTCGGCCGCCGGCCGGCCGGCCCGCGGGGAAAACCAGTTATTACCGGAAAAATATTACTTTAATGAATGCACGGAGGATAATTTAACGCGGAAAGAGGATCGCCGCGCCGGATCGCGGAGATTAAATGCAATTTTCACACTCTACCGAATCCGCTATTAACCGGCGAGATAATTATAGAAATCGAACCGCAACCGGGGGGACTTATCGGCGGGGCTCGTAAGAAAACCAACCGACCGCCGATTTACCGTTTATTTATAGGCGCGCGCTGTATCGTTATTTGATTTGATTAGATTCAATTTATTTTTTCTATGTGCCGAAAAAACCATTTGGTTTACAATAGCAGTATAGAATAGTATAGTATATAATATATATAGTATTGGTATATATATTATTAGTATAGAATAGTAGTATATAATATATATAGTATTAGTATATATATTATTAGTATAGAGAGAATAGTAGTATATAATATATATAGTATTAGTATATATATTGTTAGTATAGAGAGAATAGTAGTATATAATATATATATATATATAGTATTATATATATAGTAGTAATATATGTAGTAGTAATATATATAGTAGTAATATACATAGTAGTATATATATAGATAGTAGTAATCTATATAGTAGTATATATATATAGTAATAATATACATAGTAGTATATATATATATATATATATATATATATATATATATATATATATAAAGTATAAAAAAATTTATAGAAAATGT